ACTTGGCTAGGTCCTATCGGAGACGGACGTTAAACTAGGAGGTCCCGCCCCTTAAATAACCTAATAGTGTTGACAGGGGCGTTAGACCCATACCATTTCACCATTTTCTTCTTCTGTAGCTAACTGGAAAACAAAAGGAGCCGCTGTACCGGCGTTTGTAGTGTAGCGGTTATGCGCTTTACTGCCGCACGCAGGAGACCCGAGTTCAATCCCCGAGTGGAGAGGAAGTTTTATAGATTATAGAGTGTCTCAGTCTGTCTTTCTGCTGGGCCCGATGGGTCGTGACAGGGTCAGAAGCCCGCCGCCTGAATGATCTAAATTATACATTATGTACTGTTTGGTAAAATACTGCAGTGTTGTCTATTTTGACAGGAAAATCGATGACTGACACAAGAGCAATAAAAAAACAAACAGACACCAAATAACTAAGCTGTCACATCAGAAAATTAAAAGAGATGGCTGAGATCTCTGGAGTTAGGACAAAATTTGGACATAACTAATCAATGGCTGAGCGCAAACAGTGACTGAATTGTATCCCCTTTTGGTAGAAGTGGAGTTATCGATATATGGGTACTGAGATTTTAAGCCGCTCTTTTACCGCTGTAAATTATGCCGTAGCTTAATTCGGTGTCGAGATATTAATGTTTCTTTTTTTTTACTATGTTATAGAGATTTCAATACGTGTGTCATCAAATTTCGTGCTCATTTTTCTCGAAACTGAAAAGTGGATAGATCTATAGTTACTTCTTGCGCTCATCTGCCAAGATATTTTCCTGCATTTCTTCTTTTCATTTATAGTTGTAACTCTTCACCATGGGGTGACCACATCATGAAGGACGCTATTTTTATTTCCAATCAGTGTCTTCACTGTTGTCCAGAGGATTTGTTTTGACTTGATATAGATTTATTGCTTGTCAGATGCTATACAGGATATGTCCATTTTTTTAGAAAAAAAATCAGGGCACTACCCTGTAGCATACAACAGTACCCGTGGCATATCCGTATGAAATCGATCAAGGGGAAAAAAATCAGCTAGGTTATTCACAAGTGTTATTGCATAGCAGCAAATCAAGTTAAGAACAAGACAAGTCCATCCTAAAGAAGTGAAATATAGGCCAAGTTGTGGTAGGAATAATATGACTTGTCTGTTTTTCACTTGAACTCTTCATTTATAAATCTGACACATGTTACTCGTCTTGCTTTCAATATATAAGCAAGTACAAGTGTTGTGTTCTGTCTTAAGGCTTGATTCTGGGTTTGAAATTTTCTCATGTCAAATAAATACATGTACGCTTACAGTCTAACCTGCTCTAATGACTTCCTATCCAAGACAGCTACCTGTGTGGGTGGTTGGTGGGTGCTCTGGTGTGGTTTGCTCCTATTTTCCTATCAAACATCTATCGTCCATATCTGCCCTTCTTCTTTGTTATGTTTGTTACTCTCTTGTAACACCTCTAATCTGCTGGCTCTCATATGACCTTGTGCAGCTGTGAGCGCCGTAAAAACCTATAACTAAAACAAAAACAGACAGCTATCTGTACAGACAAACACTTCCCCCTTCATCTTTACAAGTCAAATCTATTGAGGAGAAAAAAATGGGTGGTCCTTTTAGTCTTAGACATTAGAAAGTCTCAAGATTGAAAGGGGTTGTTTTTAAAGATGGTTGTCTTTGACGGATGGTTGTTAGAGCAGGTTCAAATGTATTTAATTTGTGTTTAAAATGTCAGGGGGAAAAATGCATTTTTGTTACATCTTGTTTCTCTTTCATCTAAGTGTAGCTTTTCCAAATGCGGGGGACGATGGACAGATTTTTAGGCTGTCTTGAGGAGATGGTTTCAGCTCACATACCCTTCTCTCAGTGGGTAGTTGGTGGATGCTGGTGTGTGGTTTGCTCCTTCTTTCCTATCAAATGTCTGTCGTCTTTATTTCTCCTCCTTCCTTTTTGTGTTTTTTACTCTGTAGTAGCACCTCGAATGTGGGACCAGTTTGGACTGAAATGTTCAGAGTGGGTGGTTGGCGGGTGCTCTGGTGTTGTTTGCTTATTCTGTCCTATCAGATATCTATCGTCCTTATCTCCCCTTCTTGTTTTTTTATGTTTGTTACTCTCTTGTAACACCTCTAATGTTCTAGCGCTCATATGACCTTATGCAGTTGCGAGCGCCGTAAAACCTCTACAAAAACTTTTAAAAACTTGAATCTTCGGTACTTATATGGCGCAATTGTGTTGCACGTGCAGTAAAATTCTTACTTAAACCAACCAACCCTTCTCTTCTCAGTCCAATGGTGACGGCCTGACCAAGTCTTCCAATGGCGTCCACCGCCCCCACCACAACCACCACCATGAGCTGGCCCACAGCCACAGCCAGGTGGCCCCGGTGGCCTACATGATCATCTTCGGCGACGCGCTGCACAACTTTATCGATGGCCTCTCCATCGGCTCGGCCTTCACCCAGAGCATCATGACTGGGGTCAGTGTCAGTGTGGCCGTCATGTGCGAAGAGCTGCCCCACGAGCTAGGTGCGTTGGTAGACAGATGCTGTAGTTGCCAGAAAAAAAATTTGAGAGATGTGAGAAGATATTGTGGATCAGATTTTTTTAGAGCTAACATTGCCTCTTTTTTTCCCAGAAAATGGATTTTTTGCATAGGAATTAGGGGAAAGTAGTTTTTAGTGTATTACATTTATCAAAGATTCTCAAATGGAGACCTCAAAGATGAAAAGGGAAGTAGCCACAGAATCCTTTTTGACACAACTGTCTTTCTTTTACTGGCTCATTACCACTGACATTGTTTCCCTATGTGGCTGATTCAATTTATTTGTACATATAAGGTATGTGTAACTAGTATGTTGTTTTTTTCCTTTGTTTTTTTTTTTTTAAGTAGGTGTTTTTACACCCCCGTCGACACAATTTAGATCATTTAGGAGCCAGGCTTCGGACCTTGCCTGTCAGGGCCAACCCAGGATTAGGGGGATCCAGTATCTCAGCAGAAAGACCAAAATTCTCAGTGAAAATTTTTCCCCACCCAGGAATCGAACTTGGGTGTCCTGCATGTGACAGCGAAGCACCTATCGCCTACACCACAGACACTTGTAACCAGTTTGTAATTATGCCTGCCTGTTCTTGACAAAAATAATATTGATGACCAAAACAGAACTTGATGACGATGAATGATACATTACATATTTGTTTCTTGTGCTCAGGAGACTTTGCCATCCTGCTCAACTCGGGCATGCCATTCAAACGCGCCATCATGTACAACTTCCTGTCTGCCTGTACCTGCTACCTGGGTGTCGTGATCGGCATCTTGCTAGGGGAGAACACTCAGTCCCACGAGTGGATTTTTGCCGTGGCAGGTGGCATGTTCCTCTACATTTCTCTGGTGGATATGGTCAGTATCTGTACACACTAATTGTACTCTTTTTTGGGAGGGGGGGGGGAGGGGGGCCTTTTTAAAAAAATGTATAGGGAAGAAAATGGAAAGAAGGATGGGGGGGGGGGGGGGGGAATGTTGCAGAAAGCTTTTCTTCTCTTTTTTTAAATTGAGTGGATCTTTAGTAAAAGAATGATTCTTTCTTCTAGTAGATTAGAATTTCTGCAGTTTCAGTATAAGTTTGTGTTTTTGGCTGAAAATAGTATTCTCTATATAATGAGTAATGTGTGCCCAGTGGTGACTGAAAGGATCAGGGTTTACTGGATACTTAAGTTTACTAGTTGAGAGCGTATTTAGACGAAGCATCGGCACTGATTGAATGTTATAAGTATGAGGGATAAAGTAGAAACAAAAACAATGTGTAGAGTACAGTTCCTTACAATATAAAGTGTGCAGTGGACAAGTAATTGAATGCAGACCCAAAAAAACACCTTTAGTTTAAAAGTTCGCTATTTGTATAGATACTGGGCTACTTCCAGCTTGAGCTCAAGATCTAATAGACTGAGTCAATTTGCCAATATAAATATTCACGGGCAGGGGGAGGGGAGGGGAGGGGGGGGGTGGCTGAAAGGGATACGTCTAAACAGAAAGACCAAGATACTTGATAGAATTTTGCCCTCATGGGAATCTTCCAATCCTCAACTTCCTTTATGTCCCCCACTAAATATCAGGGATTACAAGTTTTTTCACATTTCATGTAGCCCGACTTGCAGGTTCCGCAGTGTCCCCCCTGCAAATTTTCTGTTCTTTGTCTTTCAAGTTGACATGTGCCTTTGTCAAATGTAGGTCTAATTCTGTGTTAGCTTTTGCTTTGCAGGTAATCCCTTAGCTCTACATCCAATTAGTCTCTTTACATCCAATCTCTCTTCTCTAGATCCTGCCTCTCTTCTCAACACCCAATATCTCTTCTCTATATCAATTCTTTCACCTCCACATATTCTCTATCTTTTCATTCCTCCCCCACAGATGCCTGAGATGAACACAGCAGCAGAAAGTGTGGAAGGGCGTCAGTTTGGCCCAATGAAAACTTTCATACTGCAGAACTTGGGGCTCTTGACCGGCTACGCCATCATGCTCCTAATGGCACTGTATGCTGGGGAGATCTCATTCGAGTAACTGGCCCTTTGGTGCCCTGCAAACAAGTTCTGCTTTGGAGTTCTGCACTCTTCTGGCATTGTTCACTTTATGCGGAGGATAGACGATAGGGAGTGTGTTGGGGAAATGGGTACTGAAAATATAGCCGCAAAGCAAGAGGAAAAGATGAAGGCTAAAGAGGATGTTTATGAATGCGATGAGGCTGGGTAAAGTGCTGTTGGTAAGTGGGACATTGTGTAGATGATGCAAGGAGCAGAGAGAGAGAGAGATTAATGGTCAAATACTGGGGGGGAAGTAAAGGCAGCGTGAAAAGGAACTGGCCACCCTACCACAATACGCCGAAGGCCCAGGAAGTTGTCTCACTAACAAGCAGTCCCCAATGTCTGGATCGGATGCAGGAACAACTCTACTTACAGCCAAAAAAAGGAAATGTTCTCAGTTTATACTCTATGTTTTTTTCCTTTTGGGAAGAATTGTCTGTATTACCTGTCCTGGGCAACCACGTCATTGCACACCGGACAGGTCCATGAGTGCTCAGTTCCCCCCCCAGCACCAAAGCCCGAAAGGTATCCATACTGATTGTTCCAGTGGCTTTCTGATTATGGCGATGTCTTTCCTTTCCAGATAATCGTTCCTTTCTTCCTTCTCCCCTCTCTATCCCCATTTTCCGAATCCTAATAATTGCGTAATGTTCTGCTGTCTCCCTGACTTCTTCATCCCGCAACTTATCCTCCACGGTCTTCAACACTTCTCCTTTGTCAAATTTCACCTCACCATCAACCAAGGCAGTGCCTGCCAGCCTATCAGCCTCCTCATTGCCCTTCACTCCAGAGTGACCAGGACAGAATATTTTGGGGAAGAATACCTTTAGGAAACGGTGTCGAATGCTGTCTTACCAGCGTATAGCTCAAGGGGAGAGCGGTGACTATACTGACGACCTTTTCCATGTGTAGTTTAAAGGTTCATCATGTTCCTGCTGGTGTTGTCAGTCAAAGCAGACTGGCAGCTTGGTTGGTATAATGTTGAACTGTAGTGTTGACGACCATAGATCGAGTCCACTGTTGATTCTTCTTTGGCTTTGATTATTTGAGGTTTTATGGCCCTGCAGCTGCTTGATGTGTGAGTAATAACGATAGTTGCATTTATATAACACATATCCGTGCTTTATAGCATGCACCGTGTGCTTTACAACTATTATTTCACCAACAGACCCCAGAATACCGAGAAACATTCTCAGCTTCCTGGGAAGCATAAGGTGCAAGTGCAAGCTGCGGATTGCATGTGTTCAAGCCCTTACATACTTACAAGATCTTTGGCCGTCTATAGCCAGGTATTGGAGATTGAGATTACATCTGTTCTTTTTTGCAGAGGTGTTGAACCTAATCCATATCAAGTAGTGACTTTGTCTTCATCTTCGCCCCTGTTATCAAACAGAGAATTAAGAGTGGGCGCCATAGGGGTCGCCTCTCTCCAGTATTTGTGACATTCTTAGAATTTTGTTTATTTTAGAATCATTGGTTTCCACGAGATAATCCATGAGCTGCATTGTGAGTATGAAGGTAGTATGGATTCAACAGCCAGTGGTTCAGAAAGTCTCAACATTTCAATGCCCCCTGAAGTGAAAACTGCGTTACAAATGGTCTCTGAATGATCAAGTGAGTTTTTCTTCAACTGTCAGGAGTTGCCATCTGAATTTGACTGATAAATTATGTTATGATTTCTTACCACAAGTTTTCAAGTTATTCTAAGTTCTTTTATCTAAAGTCAATAAAGACTTCTTTTTTTTTGCGAAATGCACTTATACAAGAAATTGTGATGGAATTAATTCTTTTAATTATTTAATTCTGGCTTGTACTCAAGTTGTTTTCAGTTCCAAGTTTTTTTAAAAGTCTGTGCGGCCCATGTGAAGGAGTGGTTCAGCCTGTTGTGGTCAACAGGTAAACTGTAAATAAGGGAGTGAGGGAAATCAAAATTGTAATGTTTTTCAATGCTTATTCTCTGATTGAATGTAGTATGGTCATCTCTTGTGTGTTAATTTTTGGAAGTTCTAAGAGGGAGAAGAAAAAGCAAGGAAAAAGGTATAAAAATGTCATTGAATTATTTGTTATCGAAAGGCAGACCAATATGAGGTAAAACCTGTTTTGTGTTCATCATTTTAAAAAACCCAGAACTTGATGTTTGAGTGAATGTTAAATGTGCTGTGATGTGTGGGCAAAGGTGTTCAAGTGTACTATGATTTATGAGTAAATGTGTACATCATTATGCGTCATTAATCATTGATATTTTGATATTTTCTCCTCTTGTTTGAACGTTTTGGAGGAATAACTTACACGTGGACAGAAAGATCTGGATGTCTTTTTTTTTATGGGTCTCTCTTTTTCAAGGGCAGAGGGAAGGAAGGGCTCTTTCAGCATTTCATTAATTATTGTTGTCCAGGTGTTTTCAGCCTTCACCATTACAGATTTCATCGTTCAATGTGCATGTATAATATTTGGGGTAAATACATACATTGGTGGGTTCTTACCATGTCATGGATCATTTATGTAGTATTCAGTCTCAATATTTAACATTGAATCTCATATTTATGAGGACAGTCTAGTCTACCGTGACAGAGTATTGGAAGTCATGCACACGTTTGCCCTGGCTCCTTGTCCCCTTGTATATGGTTTTATAAATTATTCCACTGAATCAATACTACTTTAAATTGTACAACTTCTTTATGAATTAAGCTTATAGCCAGCAAGCTCTTCAAATGTACTAAGCCCAAGGAAACGAAATGTTTTAGGAAAGAGAAAAAAATAAATTTTAAAACTATTGTACCTACACTATATTATTTATGTTTGTTTTACCCTTTTTAACTTATGGAATATGATTTACAACTAAATATTTCCTGGGCACATGCAACCGTTACCTCAAATTGAGAAACTGCAATTAAAAAAATAATAAATTCATAATTTTGGGCTTATAATATTTTAACAGCTGGCGATATGTAGATGTGGTTTTGTCTATGCATGGTTGGGGACATGGTTAACACTCATTGACAGCACAGCAGGTTGGGGTTCAAACCACCATGGGGTTAAAAATCTTCTAGTCCTCTATGATAAATCATTTCAAAAGAACACTCTGCCTTTCTCAGGGGCAATTTACAAATTGTATGCATTTTTATATTTAACAATGTCAATAAAAGTATTTAATGTTTGTCCAAACCTGTGTGTCTATGTCTTTGCCATAGTTTCTGCTTTCATTGTTTTCTTTTATAATGCACACAATTAATTATCATACCTGAGCGAAGAAATAAAAGTGACTATCTCAGATAAAGTATCCATAAACTCGCTTGTATGGGAAATGGATAACAGTTACTGTTTGGGGTTTCAGAGCAAAGACATCAGAAATTTGTGTTGCGAATTATTTCCCTTTGGGTATTTATTACTTTGTAAAAGCATACTTAGCACTTGCAGTTGCAGCAAATTTTGTGATCATCTTGAGCCTAATTATGCCCTGCTCATTTGAACACATCACTTGCACTGACATTGTATTATAGAAGTCAATGACAGGTTCCTCATGAGTATATAAATGTCTCCGATGAATCTGTTTCAGAACAAAATAGTACACGTTTGTGTTCCCTGCAGCTTTGCACAATGGGAAGGGACCGGCCATAAACTAGAACATTTTTTTTTTAAATTTGCAATTTGTATTTTCACCCTCTGTGTCTAAATGACTCCTGGACTGGAACTTCAGATACAACAAAATTTGATTTTAGTGTATGGAAATTTGACAAGCAGCCAGTTCTGCAAGAATTCTGAATGTGGGCCCCATTACTGCTGGCTGTCACGCTACATGAGATTTCCTAAGTGCGTCTCTTTGTTTTGTGTGAACTTCCATCTTTTGTGGAATGGTTAATCTCTTTGTTTTTGCTAGGGAAGGATATATGTTCAAATCCCAAGTGGGAAAGGTATTTTATTTAGTATTACTCTTTTTTACTAGGATGGGTGTATTACATTTCATGTTTGTCAGGAATTAAAGTAAATATAGATGAGATTCTTGCGGCAGTTCTATGTCTGTGATACACCAAACTTTATTTTTTATATCTGGGCAGTAAAGGAAAGCTCCGAAATTAGTTTGATTTTGGAAAGTTGTTTTGTTTGGGGGGGTTTTTTGGTGAAAAGTGTTCTGTTTTTCAATGTTGGTGAATGTCAGAAGTAAGTAAAGGAAAGTACAGCAATTGTTTTAATTTTTAATATTGGATCTTTTTTTTGTGGGAAGTATTCTGTTTTTCAATGTTTATATAATAGTGTTTCAAATAATCTTTTAGAAGTTTGAAGGTATTTGTGAATAATAAATATATCTATGTAATGGGCATTATGGTCAAGGTTTTTAGGAATATATTTTGCTTTATGTGCAGAAATTGTAGAGTGCAGGAGTATTTGTCTGTTTTATATGAACACAGCCCTCTCATTATTGAGACAGCTTCAAAAGAATTGGTGGAGGACGAAACACACATAGAGGCTGCGAATAGTACCTATACCAAAACGACTGATATGGACCAAAATGTATACATATCCTATTTTTGGGGGGGTCTTTTTTATGAATCGTGCTTCGAGATGTAATATTTTTGCTTCCAAGTAATTTTTGTTGGGTATAGTGAGCTCAAAGATATGTGGCCAGTGTTGTGTCCGGGAGGCCTCGGCTGCTGATGTTCCTCTTGTTTTGGATTTTATATTACGCGAGCAATGCTTAATTAACTCAATTTTTGTATTGGTGTTTTTTATAAAAGGAATGGACCTAAATTCATGTTCTTATATCGACCATTCATCCTTACCAAGAGCCATTTGTGCATTAGACATTGTATTTCAAACTATTGTCAGTTCACCTTTTCTTACCCGCGTTTGTGGTGTAGTGATTGGGTGCTTTACTGTCGCACACAGGACACTCGAGTTCTATTCCCGAGTGAGAAGAATTTTAATAAGTAAAGGGCCTATCTTGGTCTTTCAGCGATATGTTTTTCATGTTAGGGAATGATGGGGTCAAACAGATGGTGAGGGAAGTTGGGCGTCACGAACCGGAGACAAAGCTGATGACACGAGAGCTTTAATACTTAAATGTATTGTTTTTTTTGACGATGCCCATGTATGTAAGCCAGATTTTTACATCAGTTGTTTTTTTTATGATTTTTCAAATCTCAATCTGACCTACGGATGAGGTGTAGCGATGAGGCTCTTCACTGTCGCATACAGGAGACCCAAGTTTGATCCCATGTTTTATGAATTTTTATGGAGTATTTCGGTCTTTCTGCTTGAAAGTTTTATCCTTCTGAGCCCG